ACTGTTATCCTGATTTTTCTTAGGAGCAGATAAATTTGAGCTACGTTGTAACTGGTGAAGGTCACGGTGGGACATCTTCGTGGAGGGAGGCGTACTTCAGAGGCTGCGGGTTCCCAGCTATTCCGGGACTGATGAGCGAGTTCATTATTCTGCCTCCTGTCATTCTCCCTCTTCTTCTAATTGTCTCTCCATTTTACCTTTTCCAAATTTTACGTGCTCACAGGGAGGTGGAACTGTGCCGACTTAAGTCCATTTTGCTCCTTGTCCCCTGCAAATGCATTTGATTGGTGGGTGAGGAGGAAGTCAAGTGTTCCTGCCTGAAACTCAGGGTTTATATGGAGGATCTTAATGCCTACCCTTTTAAAAATTAAAACTTGGTATTTTGGAAAATCAAAAGCATAAATATATAATTAACCCCCATGTATTCATCACACAGGTTCAACAATTATTGGCTTGTAGCCAACTGTCTTTTATCAGGATTCTTTCCCATATTGTTTTGAATAATATCTCAGGTATCTTATCATTATCCATAAATTTTTTAGACCAGTTAAAGTGGTTCACAGCAAAATTGAGAGGAAGGTACAGACAGGGATAACCTACGTAACCCTGTGCCCACAGACGCACAGCCTCCCCGCTGTCAGCATCCCCCGTCAGAGAGGGTGCATTTGTTCAGCCGATGAACCAACACGGACACATCCTGATCAGCCAAGGTCAATAGTTTACATCAGGGTTCATTCTCGGTGCTCTGCAGCTCTGGGTTTAGACAAATACGTGATAACATGTATCTACTCATTTTTCTTTTGAACTTCAGAATCTTATAAGAGACAAAATATAGCAGACTGTAACTATACCTCAATTTGACAGAGCTTAGGATCAAGGTGGTAATTTATAGTTTTTTCTTGAAAGCTCAAAAAGATCACATTTCTCGAGTTCATTATTAAATGGTGCTTCACCGTGGTAAAGCCATGGTAAATCCAGGTCTGTGAGATTATGGGGATAAAAGCGAGCTTGGTCAAGGAATTGGAGACTGAGTGAAGAGATGGGGGGTGAAAAGATCGAGAGTTAGTTGTTCTTACATGGTAAAGATGTAATGAAGCTCTGTGGGTGTACGTTTGAGTTCTCGAAAATCTTAACTGCTCAGTGGTTAGAGTTTAGAGACCCATCTCCTAAGTGCATATAGTCAGAGAGCTTTTTAGCTCAGTGTTTAAGCACTAGCTGTTGTTGAAATAATGTCTGTGTGCCTCATATCTAAATGGTAATGAAATGCTGACAAAACCAACCATTTGCTTTTTCTTATTCTACAACATCACAATGAGGGGAGAGGGATAAGACATTTGACATCTGATGTTTATTTTGAAAACCGCGTACACAAACATATGTCAGATAGCATAAGATTCTCATCTTTTTCCACTCTTTTTTTACTCGGTGTCTGACAAGCAGTTGGTGCTCAATAACTATGTATGAAATGAATGCAAAAATAAGTTCTTAATTCTGCTTGGCGTATCGAGAAGTAACAAGGAAGAGACCATATTTGAACTGGGATTTGAAGGATAAATGGGATTTTGCCAAGAGGAAAAGGAGTGATAGGGCATAAAGGCAGGAGAAGACACCGAGTGAAGGGTTAATGGGACTAATGAAACGGACCTGTGAGTCTCTGAAGGCTGAGTCCCCACCTGGTTCGATATGTGATCTGTTTCTCATAGTATATCGCTGGTGATTCAGCAGTCAGGCACTCGGTACATGCTCGTTGAACAAATGAATGCCGTCTGTGACTTTTTTGGGAGGAAGGGTTAGGTTAGACAAAATTAATCATGACTCTTGCTAATGAGAGAATCTTTTAAATACAAACCCAGGAATTTTTTTAAGTACTGAAAAATAGCTATATTTTGTATTTTTGGATATAATGAGAGCTAATTCAATATATGTATGTGTAATAACTTTCAATCAGAGTAGAGTCATTTATATTCTTAGGTTGCCTTCTATCATATTGTATGCCTGGTGGAAGATGGCAACAAAATCTGTAGGGTTAACCCTGAAACCTTAGACCACATTTTACAAGGGAAAGACTAATTTTTAGGTCAAGGGGAAAGAATAATGAGCCATGCAACTTTCATAGTGATGATGATCAACAGCAAGACAGCAAAATCATTCAATTCTGGTACAAACACAATTTTCTTAAAAATTAAACAATACAGATGCATTTTTTTCTATAGGCTTGTGAACTAGTTATTAAAATATCAAGAAAAAAACAAATTTAAACCCTTTGTGTCTTGATCCATAAAAAATATTCAATAACAGGTAAATAGAATACTTGTTGCATATTGAAAAATATGTGGCTTATGGTTCCATCCATATTGGTGTAAAAATCTCCAGTTACCTCATCTTTAATTAGATCTAGACATAGAGTTATATTAAGTACCTATAAAAAATCAACCCTTTCTTTAGCCCAGTTCTATATGAAAGTACTAACAAATGTATAAATGGTGACTCATAAAACGTAGACTCAGCTGTGGATTTTAATTCCTATGCCTCAGATATGACAACTGTACAAATTAAAGGCAGCATTTGTGACAAGAAGCAACTTCTCCCCGATCACACGTCCCGTTAACAGGGAAAGGAATTCTCTGAAGCTGCGTAGCTGAGAGCTCGGATGGGCCCCGTGCCCACGCTTCCACGGGCCTCCTGCAGCCTTCCGTTCTCCAGGCTGATCGTTTTTAGTTCCGGAAGCATCATGCCCTTCAGTTAGTCATTCTTACTCATGTCCTGTCATTTTTGGCTCTAGGATTTTTTTGACGAGAGCCTGATGGTGGTTCTTTCTGGAGGATTTTAGAAGCCACCTCATTGCCATCTCAGCCAGTGGAACTGATTTGTCTTTGTTCAGGGTAGTCATGTGCCCCCCCAAATGCTTTTAAGAGGGTACTGCTAGTGCATAAATCCTACTTCTTGATGAATGTATGTACGTATATACACATAATACACATATGTACATACGTGTATATTTACGCACATATGTCAGCTTTTTTTCATCTTGGCTCTTATCAGACACATCCAAGAATGCTGCAATTTTATACCCGGCCCTTCCAGCAAATATGATTGTAGTCTGGTTACCAAAAGTCCGAAGACACTGTCTGACCATTCCTGAATGGGAATGAGGGATTCCTGGGGTTTTCTCCTTGTAGGACATGTGGCTTTCAAATTCGAACCACTATATGCTGTCGCGCAAACTGAATATTCGGAAAATGGCTTAAGTGTTTCTTCTGGCACAGTTACCATTTACAGCCACATACTCCATAGTAGTGACATTCTTTCGAAGATCCTCATGTAACATCAAGAGGGCCAGACAGTAATATTTTCTGCTTGCACTTCCTTAACGCTTAGTTATTTCCTTCTGAATAACCCATGGATGACCTGGTCAACGGCACTAACCTGCCCTGCAATACTTCCTGCACCCTGCAGAAGGCGGTCTTGAGGTCGGACTGCGTGTGGCCCCTCGTCATCTTCTCCAGGGCTTCCTCACACGCTTTGGCCTTGGCCTTCTCCTTGTGGGTACTGCTCTGGCAGACTTGTCTCACCTGCTCACGTGGCTACTGAGACCAGTGAGGACGGGGCCAGCAGCTCGCCCAGGTCTGAGGTCTCCTGTCAGCCTGGAGCCCAAGGCCCTCCTGCTTCCCCCAGGGCAAAGAGGTCGAAGTGACGACTGGCCAGGAAGGCCAGGAGAGGCCGTAGTTGGTAGAGCACACCGAACCCCAGCTGGAGTTGTGGGTCACTCCCAGTGGGGACAGGCGGACCTGTAGGGGCCATAGTGTGCATCTCAGGCCTCATATCTCATCCAGCACCTGCACCCTGTGTTCCTCTCACCCCAGAAAGGTGCTGCTGAGGCCAAGAGGCCACTGGCTACTGCAGGTTGGGGCCCTTGTATTTTTATTTTGTGACAGCTTTATTGTGATATAGTTCACATACCATATAATTCACCCATTTAAAGTGCACAGTTCAGTGGCTTTTAGTGTATTTGGATATGTGTAACTCTTACCACTGCCAATTTTAGATCATTTTATCACCTCAGAAAGAATCCCCACCCTGTAGCTACCACCCTCCCATAATGCCCTCCGGCCCTGCGCCCAGGGCCCAGCCACCACCGATTAATTTTCTGTCTTTGTTTCTGTCTGTTTTTCTATTCTGGACATTCATATGAATGAAATCATATAATATATGGTCTTTTGTGTCTGGCTTATTTCACTTAACATGATGTTTTCAAGATTCATCCATGTTGTAGCACGTGTCAGTTTTTCATTCCTTTCTACGGCTGGGTGATAGTTCGTTGTAGAGTAGACCACAGTTTATCTGTTCTTCTGTCGATGGACAGGTGTGTTGTCTCCAGCTTTTGGCCATTACGTATAATGCTGCTGTGGACATTCGGGTATAAGTTTCTGTGTGGATGTTTTCCTTTCTCTTGGGTATATACCAAAGAGTGGAATTGCTGGGTCATGTGGTAACTCTATGTTTAATTGTCTGAAGAACTGCCAAACCGTTTTCCAAAGCAGCTGCACCATTTTACGTTCCCACCAACAGTATATGATCGTTCCAGTATTTCCACATCTTTGCCAACTTTTGTTGATTTGACTTTTTGATTCTAGCCATCCTAGTGGGTGTGAACTCATGCAAGGGTTTGAAAGGGTTTAGGAAGGATTTTCCCTTTCTAACAGTTTTGCAATGCAATATAGATGTTTTTAAGTGTGCCTTTTCCTCGTATCTATAAAAGCATGCCTACTAAGAAGCCTCATTGCCTGTCACAATAATAAAGGAGATTTTATATTTGTGAACTTAAAAATTTCATTGGTCAAAACCAACATGGGTGACTTTTAAACTATAAGAGTTGACGGGAAGAAGGAGAGTGGGTGGAGAAGGGGGAGCAGGTGGCATATCTCCTGGAATGTTGCATCTTTCCCAGGAGATGGCTCTACTTCCTGTTGCTGAGTCTAACGGGTCCCTGTGTCTTTCAGGAGGACTGGCATTGGCCCAAGTGCTCTTTTTCTATGTGAAGTACCTGGTGCTTTTCGGCGTCCCAGCTCTGCTCATGCGCCTGGATGGACTCACGCCTCCCCCGCTTCCTCGCTGTGTGAGCACCATGTTCAGTTTCACAGGGATGTGGAGGTCAGTGGCTTGGTTTATTACAGCCCTTCAGGAGTGTCCAGTGGGAGGAGCCACGGTTTGGTCAGCTTCAAAGGGCTCAGGCCTCTGTCCCTCACTCAGGCTGTCATAGGCACTTCAGTTTCTTTATCTGTCTAACAGGATAATTTATACTTTCTGACCTCTTGAAAATATTGTCAGGCTACAGAGCTATGTGAGGTAAGAAAGTTTCTCACCAAGACATTGTGCAGATGCGTAAAGAGTTATGTCTAACATGCTTTCTTACTAACTTGGGACATGCTGCTATATATGGATTATTTTTTTGTTGTCTTTTTCTTGACATCTCTATTTATGAGACTGTTGATTAAGAAAATAGACTTAGGATAATAGCATAGGCCAGTGTTGGCACATACTAGCTCTCAAATCTAGAGCAATTTACTAAATCTTTCTAAGTTTCCATTTTTTAATTTCCTAGATGATGATGATGATATGATGATGATGATGATGATGATGATGATAAATAATACCTATCTCCAAGAGTTGTTGTGGAGATTAAATAAGCTAATGCATTTAAAGCATCTGGCACGTAGTAGATGTTAACAGATGTTAGCTTTTACCCGTACATTAGTCCTATACTTGGCGCACATGGGTAGACAGATGCTTATCCTAAGTTTTCTTACTCTTCCTGACTTTGCCCCATGTCGGCCTGGAGTCTTTGTTCCAGAAGATCCCACAGCTCTGCTGCTTCTTTCTTTCTCATCCCTTCCAGTACGTAACAAGTGACAGGCTTGCTTTTGCACTTGCAAACTTAGTGTAAGAGCCTTGGGATGGGGCCTTGCACGTCCATGGGAGTCGGTGCCTACTTACATTTTGTTCTTTAGGCGTCTCCATTTGCCTCACCCTAGTGTTAGCCTTACTTACAGCTGCCATTTTGGCTCATTTATGTGGCTTGTTCAGTCTTACATTTCATCTCTGTGGCAGAAGAGTAAAGCGTAGGCGGGGAAGAGCTTAGTGACTGTTACCACATCTAATATTGTCATTACAAAAGGAGTGGACATCACACAACGTCCCGGTGTCCCATAGTAGATTATCGTAGATGCTGAATTTATCTATGCCTCTGTAAACATTAAATTTTTGATCCAGTTTGCTTTTTTGGGATTAGAAATGTCATCTGGTTATTGCAAAGAATATTAAACAATTGCTTTGATTAGCCCATAATTACTTCATTGAATGTCATTGGTTGCCCAGCCTTTAAAAAATTTTTATTTTATTGTTTCAAGTATACAGTCCATTGGTTAGACATTTATATGGTTTGTGGAATGATCACCTGATAGCTTTTTCTCCCCTCTGGCTCTCCACCTAGCCATCACATTAATGCTCACTGCCTTCCCTATGACATGCTTCCCATCCCTAGACCATCTATCGACTACTGATTTGTACTTCTTTAACTCTTCACCCCAGCCCCCCAAACCCCCTCCCCTCTGGCCAGCACCAGATTGTCCTCTATATTTGTGAGTCTGCTTTTTTAGTTTGTTCTTTTTGTTCCTTAGATTCCACAAAAAAGTTAAATCATATGATATTTGTCTTTCTCTATCTGACTTATTTCACTCAGCATAATAACTTCTAGATCCATCCATGTTGTTGCGAATGGTAGGATTTCAGTTTTTTAATGGCTGAATAATATTCCATCGTATATATGAACCACAACTTCTTTATTCAGTTGTTCGTTGATGGGCATTTCGATTGCTTCCATATCTTGGCTATTGTAAATTATGCTGCCCTGAACATAGGGATGCGTAGATCTTTACGAACTAGTGTTTTGATTTTCTTTGGATAAATACCCAGAAGTGCAATTGCTGAGTCAAAAGGTATATCCATTTTTAATTTTTCTGAGGAACCTCCATACTGTTTTCCAATATGCAGTGCCACCAACAGTGTTTGAGGGCTTCCTTTTCTCCACATCCTCACCACAGGTTGCCAGATTTTAATGGCAAGGTTAGCAAAGGCGCTCTCTCTAGCTAGGGGGCCAGGGAGTGGTTGGAAGGCTCTGTTAACTTTTGACCTACTCGTAAAAGTAATTTACTGAATAAATGGGTCAGGACTCAGCATGATTTGGGGGATGTGTCTCAAGTGCCTGGTGTGTTCCTAGCATGATCCCTCTGCCTCCTTGCTGTGAATGCTTGCACTAATGCATTTCTCGGGAAGCACATTCTCCTAAAAGGGCTTCTCCAGTGTCAGTTGGCATAATAAAAAACCATGACTTCCGGGCAGGCATGCTGGCTCCAGGCTCCTGGCTCAGTGTCCGTAAATAATAGCCCATCGATTATCATAAGAGGCAGTTTAGACAGTTAACTGTATTTCACACTGAGATTGGTTGTCTTCTTGTCCTTTATTATTTTAATTAATTAACTAATTAATTTTTTTTTTTTTTGTCCAAGACCCTCAGTTGTATACAAACCACAGAGGTGGAGAAAATATGTCTGCCAAGCCCTGTCATTCTTCACTAGAACTAGACTCAAATAGACCCCAGGTTGCTGACGTATTCTTTCCTCCTCTTAGTTACCACTTGGGCAAGAGAGTAATAATGAAAAGTTACTCTGAGGAGGACAAGGCTCTAGGGTGGCCCCTGGGAGGCATATGGTTCTAAAGGGAGATGCTCACAAGGGGGCAGATAACGAAATAACACGCATGGTCTTTCCTGGGAGCGACCTAGACTTTTATCCTGTCTTCCTCTACCGTGCGTGGGTGCCAGTTTACCCCTTTACATTCGTTTTAGTTTTTTGAAGGTTTTCTCTTTTGCCAGTTATACTTGGAAATGGACGAATTTGTGGGTCTTTATTTTTTTGTACACAGTGACCATCCCACATTAGGTAGTTGAATTTAGCAAGGAACTTAAACTCTCTCTGAGCTGTAGTGCACAATTAAAGGCTCAGCAGAAGACATTTTTTTATTGATAAAAGGATAAAACTTATAGTTTATCTTTTGTGCTGTTTGCAGGTGCTCCTCCATGCTTAGGAGGATGTGTCCCGTGCCCATGTCCAGGGTCCAGTAGCACAGTCTTACACTGGCCCTGGTCCCCATTCTCTAACTGTCCTCTGTACGAATGCACGGCAGGAGAATATAAAGTTTTGAGTGTGTAGTTTTCATTTACATCTAACTTTACATTAATATTTCTGGGGCATCTATTGAGGCCTTGCTGCAGACAGGGAATTGCTCCCTCTTCCTGGATACAGATCTGAGCAGAAGTGTGTCAGGAGCAAATGCAAAAGCTGGAAATGCAGACCTTTCTGCTGGACCGTGGCAGCCACCTCCAAGGTGACCCACAAAAGGCAGGGTGGATGGGAAGTTGAGGGAAGAGATTTGCAAACAACCTCCAGAGATGGTTTAATGGTTCCCCTGAACTTCTAGAAAATCCACACCGAATGAAGAGGTTTAGAACTGATGATGAGAGACAAGTTTTTAGCTTCTTATTTTAAAGGAGTCGTACATACGTGGACCCTGTGCTGACTGACTGCACTGTCTTTCAGTCTTCTTAGCAGTGAGAGAAGACTTGAGGCTGGCAGTCCACCACATCAGAGGAATCTGAGCTCTACATCATAGAGCAGATGAAATTGGCCATCAGCAGAGAGATAATGTTCCCTGACGTGACAGTCGAAATTGATCATGCAAAATTACTATTCACTCAGGTGGCCCAAACCTGAAAGTGAGGCTCTCTATGGGTTTGTTTATTTTACTTTTTCCTTCTAGCTCTTCTCTTTCATATAATTTCTGCTCCAATATTTGCAGGCATAACAAAACCCTTCGGAGTATGTGTTTTCCCACTTGCATGATTTTTCTGCAACTGTTGAACCTGAGAAATTGAGAATTTTCTGCTTAATTTTTAGGTTTCATGTTTTAATTTCGGAAGGCTGAGATCTGTAATGACCATCTTTTGCCAGGAGTCATTAAAGATGACATTGCATGTCCAAGGTTTCAAATTAGAAATCTGATCATGTTCCCCTAATTTGATCTCAAGCCATGGAAGCAAAGTGTGCAAAGTGATAGAATTTCCCCTGGCGGCTGGTGAGTTATGGGTCAATTTCAATTATCTCAGGAATCTCGCTCAGCTCGCCCTCTGCATTTCTTGAATTATGATGCTCTCAGATCTTCACAGGCAAACTCATGCATCACTGCTTATCCCAGAGGGATCTGGGCACTGTTGGTGGCTGCTAGACCTTAATATACAGGGACATGTTTGGGCTGGGGATGGGGGGTGCCTGAGACCCTTCTTTCAGTGGGGCATCGATTGCATAGCTGTCAGGCCAATAGAGTAATTTAGGTCTCTAGGTGGAGAGTTGGTCCAGGCCTGTGGTAGATGATGAGAACCAGCTATACAACTGCTGGCCTTGCCAGAGTCCTCCTTTTGTATCCTGTTTAATCTCAAGTTGCAGGGCAGGATGGCAAGCATGGAGTTGGTGAAATATACATCCTATCTACCGGCATTGCTGGGCGGCAAGCGAGGGCAACTTGAACATGAAGGAGAAAAGATGGAATAGGTGCTGAAGGTGAGAGTTCACTTTTTTGGAGGAGGCCGCCTGGTCACTCAGAGCTTGCTATTTACTACCTGCGTGACTTGGGCAAATAATTAAAAATTCTCTTGGCCAACCTCATTATCTCTAAAATGAAGATAACAATAGTACTTGCCTCATAGCAGTGACATGAGGGTTGCATGAACCTGGCGTATAGTAGGTCCTCAGAAAGTGGTAGCTTCTTACTTTTTTTTTGCACTTGAAAATCTAACGAAGCCAGAGATGATTGAGAGATTAGCCTGAGGATGGGCCAGGCTGAGAAAGCACTGGGCAGTGATGAGACTGGCTGCGTCCAATTCTGAGCCGGAGATGTGACAATTCAGAGATAGAGACCATAGTGGAAAAGTCATAGCCTCTGCTCTCAGAGGAGGGAGCTTGATCATATTGCTTTTGCCTCAGTTTCTTCATCTGTTGAATAAAAGACAGACTTTTTCATGAGATGATGTCTGTGTTCCT